TTTACCAATTTAAATAGAAATTGTTAGTGGTTAAATTTTACACATATTTTTATGTGTATATAGAGTAATTTTTTATGATAAAGCTGATGTTATAAAAGAAACAAAAAACTTCAGATGGCAGTATATACTTTCTCTTTGCTATGGAACATCAATCAGATCTTAAAAATGTTTGAGATTTTCAACATCACTGATCACTAGAGAAATGCAAATCAAAACCATAATGAGATACCACCTCACGTCAGTCAGAATGGCAATTATTAAAAAGTCAAGGAATGGCTGGGAGCAGTGGCTCACACTTGTAATCCTAGCACTTTGGGAGGCCGAGGTGGGTGGATCGTCTGGGGTCAGAAATTCAAGACCAGCCTCACCAGCATGGCGAAATCTTGGCTTTCTAAAAAAAAAAAAAAAAAGTCAAGAAACAACAAATGCGGGAGAAATAGGGATGCTTCTACATTGTTGTTTTGGAAATGTAAATTAGTTCATCCATTGTGTAAGACAGTGTGGTGATTCCTCAAGGATCTAGAACCAGAATATCATTTGACCTGGCAATCCCATTACTGGGTATATACCTAAAGGAATATAAATCATTCTGTTATAAAGATGCATGCACACATATATTTACTATAGCACTAGTCATAATAGCCAAGACTTGGAAGCAACCCAAATGCCCATCAATGATAGAATGGCTAAAGAAAATGTGGTACATATACACCGTGGAATACTATGCAGTCATAAAAAGGAATGAGATCATGTCCTTTGCAGGGAGTGGATGAAGCTGGAAGCCATCATCCTCAGCAAACTAACACAGGAACAGAAAACCAAACACCTCATCTTCTCACTCATAAGTGGGAGTTGAACAATGAGAACACATGGACACAGGGAGGGGAACAACATACGTCGAGGCCTGTGGGGTGTGAGAGAGGTGAAGGGAGAGAGAGCATCAGGACAAATAGCTAATGCATGTGGGGCTTAAAACCTGGGTGATGGGTTGATAGGTGCAGCAAACCACCATGACACACATGTATCTGTGTACCAAAACTGCACGTTCTGCACATGTATTCTGGAACTTAAAGTAAAAAAAAAGTTTGAGCTTTGTGGAGAATGACTTGGCAAAGCAACCTAAATGTCAAGCATAATAATGAAGAAAGTTCTCTTCACTTTGGTTGCATCTTGCTCAAATCAGTTGAAAATATTTAATGACATTATTCAGTAACAGAAACAACTAAAAACTTTTATTTTTAAGTGTATAGCAATTGTAATTATTAAAAACAAAGGTTTCAAATATATGGAAGCAAAGGAAGAAGCAAAATTTAATCAATGAGCACTCAAGTAGTGAAATAAGTTAACGTGGAAAAAATCTTTTGATCAATATTTGAGTTTTAATTTTATACGTTTATATTATATTCTAGAATGGATTGAAATTGAGAAGACCTACTTTTTTGCAGAATCTAAATTTGATGACATATTTAGAAGAACCATAAAAAAGGACACTTTAAAATAAATTTCATCTTGCAAAAATATTTGTTGCCGAAAGTAGTCTCAATGGAAAAAAATAGTATCTGTAAAAATATTTGGGCTACGCCGGGCGTGGTGGCTCACGCCTATAATCCCAGCACTTTGGGAGGCCGAGGCAGGTGGATCACGAGGTCAAAAGATCGAGACCATCCTGGTCAACATGGTGAAACCCTGTCTCTACTAAAAATACAAAAATTAGCTGGGCATGGTGGCACGTGCCTGTAGTCCTAGCTACTCAGGAGGCTGAGGCAGGAGAATTGCTTGAACCCAGGAGGCAGAGGTTGTGGTGAGCTGAGATCGCACCATTGCACTCCAGCCTGGGTAACAAGAGTGAAACTCCGTCTCAAAAAAAAAAAAAAAAAGAAAAAAAATTGGGGCTAAAATACTTACAGATCTCAATTTAAAAAGTCAAGATTTGGTCAGGTGCAGTGGCTCACACCTGTAATCCCAGCACTTTGGGAGGCTGAGGCAGGCGGATCGCCTGAGGTAGGGAGTTCGAGACCAGCCTGGCCAACATGGAGAAACCCCATCTCTACTAAAAATACAAAATTAGCCAGACGTGGTGGTGCATGCCTGTAATCCCAGCTACTTGAGTGGCTGAGGCAGGAGAATTGCTTGAACCCGGGAGGCAGAGGTTGTGGTGAGCCAAGATTGTGCCATTGCACTCCAGCCTGGGCAACAAGAGTGAAACTCTGTCTCAAAAAAAAAAAGTTAAGATTTGAGACTAGCCTCTATTTGACCAGAGCCGCCTGTGCAGTGCCCAACATCTGTGAAGACAAGTAGTTTTTCCACATAAAAATATCATGGTCAAAAGAGAGAAGTCAATTGAAGCTGCCATGAAGTTTTAATTTATTAATAAAAAATTGACCTATAAAGAATACTGCAGGCTATTTTATGAGAAAATTTAAAATAATAATTTTATATTAAAAGAATTATTCACAAAACACCAGTGACATAGTATTATAGACAAATACAGAATTACAAAACTGATTAAGTACATGAATATATACCAACTATAATTATTTCACTTTTATTCTTTGGAAGGCAGCTATGCTAATCAATATACCACCAACACCGCGGCTTCACTTTTATTCTTTAATCTTCAGATATTAATATAATTTTAAAAAATATATGCTAATGAATTCAGATGCATTATTTTAATTTTTAAAGAACATTTTAGTTTAAAAAATTATTGGAGGCAGCAAACCACATTGCCATGTACGGACCTATGCAGCAATCCTGTATGTTCTTCACATGTGCACCAGAACCTAAAACGCAATAAAATATATATGTTAAAAAACAAATAATTCACAAATTCTCCAATAAAATAACACGAATTTGTTGATCACTGAATGAATATTTTTATAAATACTATATAATTTTAATTATTTGTTTTAGGTTTTTATTTTGATGCAATTTCAAATTTATAGAAGAGTTGCAAGAATGTTACAAGGAGCTCCAGTAAGGAAAATGGGAGCTGGTCAGGGCATACTGGAGCTATCTCTTTGCCTTCCCTGTCTCTCTGCCTCTGTGTCTTTCTGTCTCATATCCATATGTGTATTTATTTAAAATATTGTTTTTCTGAAACATCTGAAAGTAAGTTCAAGACATCATTTGCCTTTTCTACTAAATCATTTGGTGTGGATTTTCTAAATATAAGAATATTAAATTCAGGAAACTTAACATTACTATAACACTGCTATTTAATCCATAGTCCCTTTGTAAATTTCATCTCTTGTCCCAGTAATGTCCCTTAGAGTTATGTTTTTTCTCTGATTCATGATCCAATCCAATATCACAGGCAGCAATAGTGGCCAGGTCTCTTTGGTTTCCTTTAATTTGAAACAGTTCTTCAACTTTTCTTTGTCTTACTTAACCGTGACTTTTTTTAAAAAAAAGAGAACAAGACAGTTGTTTTGTAGAATGTCCCTGAATTTGGGTATGATTAGTTTCAGGCCATGCATTTTTGGCAGGAATAAAGTGATATATCTTTCTCGGTATATCAAATCTGGTGGCATATCATGTTAAATTGTCTCAATATTAGCGATATTAACTTAGATCATATGGATAAGATGATATCTACAGAACCCTCCCTTGTAAGGTGGAGATACATTTTGTGAAAATGACTCAAAGATCACATGAATCAAATTTTTACCTACTATAGTTAACAGCAGTTGATTTTATCCATTGTCCTAGATTTGACATGTGGGAGCTCCTTCAAGCTGCCTTTTTGTCCTTTTGATATGCTTTCTCATTCTTTAAGAATGTTCTTACTTTTCAGCATGAGATACCTCAGGATCGTCTTGTATTCCTCCTCTCCATGGAGACCTGGCTTTTGGCAAACAATGATGTTTATAAGACACAATTAGGTACTAGATATACTTATTGTTACATGTGTGTCATTGTTTAAGGCTTTCTCAGTGCTGTGTGTATGGACATGTATGCATGTCTCTATGAAAATTTTTTTTAAAAAAATCAGCTGGGCATGGTGGTACGTGCCTATAGCCCCAGCTGCTCAAGAGGCTGAGGAAGGAGTATCGTTTGACCTCAGGAGTTCAAGGCTGTAGTGAACTATGCACTATAGCCTACGTGAGAGCGAATGCATAGCTCACTGCAGTCTTGAACTCCTGAGGTCAAGCAAACCAAAAATTCTGTGTCTAACAAAATAAAAATTAAAATGAAATAAAATAAATATATATATCATTTGTTGTGAGTACATAGAAACATTATACATTGGACATTTGGGACTGAATTTTTATCCTGTGACCTTATTAATTCACTTAACAGTTCTATTGGAAGTTTGGTAGAAAAATTCCTGAAGATTTAAACTTATGATGTCTGTGATTAGAGAAAGTTTTAATTTTTTAAAAAACCCTTTTTGCCTTTCGTTTATTTTACTTGCCTTATTACAGTGGCAAGAATTTCGTTAAAGTTTGTGTAAGATTGATGTTATTCTGTTGTTTCTGATGAGTAGTCTACCGTGATTCATATTATTGGTCTTCTTTTAGTAATAGTTTTCTTTTCTCTGTTGGCTGTCAAGATTTTCCTTTTATCTCTGGTTTTCAGTTGCTTATGACATGCATAAGTGTGATTTTCTTTGTATGTACCCTGTTGGGGGATTGCTGAGCTTTTCGCATCTGTAGGTTGTTTTTCACAAACTTTGGGGACTTCGTTGTTATTACTCTAAACACTTTTTCTTCCTCATTCTTTCCTCTCCTCTTCTGGAACTTAAACTGCATGTATGTTGGTCTGGTTGACATTGTCTTATAGGTCCTTAAAGTTTTGTCCATCTTCTTTCAATCTTTTTCTCTTTCTTTTCACATTGGATTAATTTCAGTGAGTCCATTATTAAATGTATTGACATATTCTCCAAACTCCATGTTCTGTTTCCACAAACTGGCACTTTCTGCTTGAGTTTAATTATCTTAGACTTGTGTCAACTGGGGCAAACCCTCAGACAAAAAGCTATATAAACACACAAACACAAATTGTTCTGTTGCCCAGGTTGGAGTGCAGTGATGCAATCTTGGCTCACTGCTAACTCTGCCTCCCAGGTTGAAGTAATTCTCCTGCTTCAGCCTCCTGAGTAGATGGGATTACCGGTGTGCACCGGCACATCTGGCTAATTTTTGTATTTTTAGTAGAGATGGGTTTTCACCACGTTGGCCAGGCTGGTCTTGAACTCTTGACCTTGTGACCCACCTGCCTCAGCCTCCCAAAGTGCTGGGATTACAGGCATGAACCACCACGCCCAGCTTACAAATTTAATCCAATTCAGTTCTCTGGTTTGAAACACTGACTCCCCTCCAGTTTCTGCTGCTTTTGCTCTCCAAAGCCTTCAAATTATTATTTAAGAAAGGTTAGTCAATACAAGCTACTCTGCCAATACCAGACATGGAAATGTTAATACAAATATTAGTCCTTAATTTTTCTAATAAGGAAAAATATGTAATTTATATCCAAATAAAAATATTTAGATATATTTACTTGTTTAATAACTGAAGCGATAGAATAGTAAGTTGTAAAAATAAATTCTCACAATTTAAAAGACTTTCGTAAATATTTAAGTTATAGTTGACACACTTGCCTTAAAATATCTCATGTGTCAACGCAAACCTATTTGTACACCTCTGGAATCTAGCTCATGCCACAAGCAATTTTCCTCATGGAAACAATAGCTCCTGAATTGCTCTATTTCCTATTTAATGAAATGATCAGGTACTTGAATGCTGACTGTGTTAAGTTGCTATTAAGATTTCTAAATGTGCATTTCCGTACTTATCTCATGGCAGTTCAGCCACAAATACCTCACAGACTGGCACCAGTTTGTGAAATGCACTGTGAATAATGTTAATATATGGAGCATTTCCCCTCTGGCTTTCTGTGCTGAGTCTCCCTCCCCCTCCATTTGTATTCATCTTTTCTACTCTGCTCTGTACTCCAGACGGCTTGCAGGCAGTCTATGATCCCCTGCCTTCTGGCATCCTGTTGCATTTGGCCAACAGAAACATCCAGCAGGAGATAGAAAGGCAGAAGAATGAGTTTGGAGTGTTTATTCCTACAGCTCTTCTTAACAGGTCATGGAGAGTGAGTTTTGTCCCTGCCTCTCCACTGTAAGTCACAGCTCCTGTCAGGTAGCCCTCTCCTTATGCCTACCCTCTTTAGGTACTGATCTACTTTTTCCCCTTGCCCTTCAGTCCTACAGGGGGTGAGGTCCCTCCTTTGTTGCTGGTATGGTATTGCATTTCCCTCCCCACCCCCTGCCACATCTTTAAATAGTGCTTTTATGAACTATCTTCAGTATGCACATGTGCCATCTCTTTGCTGTCAGGACTCTGACTGAGACATTCTCTTTGGCTAGGATTTGTGTCTGGGTTGTAAGAGTGAACAACTTGCACAAAAGCCAAAGAGCTTCCTAGAAAAAGGAGAATGGAGACTCCAATACCCTCTGTTTTGCAGATTAACATGAAGAGATTATCTCTGATGAACTGAGGTGGCTCAAATCGAGGGTCAACTGGCAGATGTGTACATTCACTATGAGAGAAAGGAACCAAGGCCAGATTGTCAAGGAAAGAGCTCAGGACATGGTCGAGGCTGTTAAGTATCCTCCTGATGCACCCTTCCTGGTACTCTAGACATATATCTGAAAAGCATATGTGTATGATTCTTCAGAATGAGCCAGGTAACTAAAGAGTGTGCCTTTGTTGTGTAATGACTGCTATTTTTATGTATATTCTTTCAGGAAAATAATTCATCTTGAGAAACTCCTGCCTGACTAGTGGCATTGATGTGAATTGGTGCCCAGGTCCCTTTCTTCAGTGATGGGTGGCCAAACACAAGTGTGCTAAATCACCACTGTTCTTGCAGCAGTGACCGAAGACTGAATCTCACTATCAAACCACCTGCTTTCCACAAGCACTTTACCAGCAGCAACTGCACCAGATCTTGGCATTCTTCAGTGAATGAGCCCCTCATACTTTCCAGTTTTCTTCCATCATGAGGATAATAACCGGGACTGATACCTTCAGCAGAGGAAGGCTCTTTGGGTTCTTTTAGTATGGGACGTGAGACACCCCAGAGAGGGAGGCAATACATTTTCACAATAGAAGAGTACAGCTCAGAGTTATTTAATTTGAATATTTAAAAAAGATTCAGCATTATTTTATACCCCATGTTGGCAAATCACAAAAACAGTTACAAGATATATCTAAAGTGGGAGGTAGCAGAGTCAATGATAACACTCAATTTATAGTTTATACTATGTTCTCCATAGATATTGGTGCTTTTAGGGCAGAAAATTTGGTTGAGAAAAATACATTTGCTAAGTAGATAAAATTCCTATTTCACGTGTGTAAGACTGATTTCTAAGAAGACAGAATTTTAGAATATCCTATTTCTTACTATATAAACTGGGGCTTGGTTAGATGTTAAGGCCAATAGTAGGATGTTTGTGCGTAGAAAGGCCAATGAAGAATTAAATTTACCAAGAGTTACTTGTTTTTGTGATCACGTTTTACTATGTTTGGGTCAGTGTGTGTGTGTGTGTATGTGTGTGTTTTCTTCAGTGTGTTGTTTTTGAAATGTGTATCTGCCCTTGGAGAGTTCTGTGATGAGAACATTTGAAAAACTCTTTAAAAACCTCTGCAGTTCTTTAAATGCTGTCAACTGTTGGCATGTGGTCAAAACATAATTCACAATGAAACATTTGTTCTTTGAGATTAGTCCACATCCATCAGGCAAAAGCTTGTCTAGTCAGGTGCCTTTTCCAGAGGCTGTGATGGGTAGTCTTGCTGTCTGTATTGTTTTAGATGACTCATATCAAAGGTTAAATTCCTTGATCTTTTCTCGCGTCACGTGGCCAAACATGTGCTGGGTACAGAGTCTTTCCTTCTTCATCCACCAGCAAAAGCTTCAAGGTCCATTCTTTTCTTTCTCTCATGTTGGGACTCACCTCTTCTTCATTCTTCCATTCCCATCATTGTTCTCTTCCACTCCCTCTCACTTCACTCACGTGCTGCCTGCCTGGAAGAGGAGGCAATGGAAGAATTTCAGTTAATATTTTCCTGTAAAAATTTTAATTGAACAAGCAAAAAGTGTACAGTCTCATGGAGAAAATACCTAATTAAAGATGACAATGTTTGAGACATATGCTCTAATTGAAGTGAGCACACAGTGTTGCAGCATGTATGGGAGAAAGCTCAAAAGGGAGGGAGGGTCTAAGAAGGTTTTCTATATTAGAAGATACTTTTAGAAAATACTTTTCTATATTAGAAAATTGGGATAGCATGGGGAGAAATGCCAGATGTGGGTGAAGGGGAGGAAGGCAGCAAATCACACTGCCAGGTGTGTACCTATGCAACTATCTTGCATGTTCTGCACATGTACCCCAAAACCTAACATGCAATAAAATAATAAATTATTATTATATTATTTTTTAAAAAAGAAAATACTTTTAGAGGGGGAGGGAGGGGCAGTTTCCTCCTTTCTCCCCTCCTTGAAAAATATATTTTTTTAAAAATGAAAAAAAAAATCCCAAACAAACAAACAAACAAACAAAAAAGAAAATACTTTTAGAGGTGCAACTTGAAGGGTAAGCAGAGGCTAAATCATGAAAGAATCTGAATGACATGCTAAGGAGTTTTAAGGAGCCATAGAATACTTTAAAGTGGCCTTTTAAGGTTCATATCTTTGGAAGCTCTCTGTAGTGGCATGACGGAGGATGCACTGTAGACAGAAGATCTAATGGTACACAAATGAATCAGAACAGGTGAGAAATTGTGAGCACCTGACAGTGGGGTGATGAGTGTGCATAGGAGGAGAGAGAATCGAGAGGCATTTTAGCATTAGACTCCATGGTACTTGGCGACCAAGTGGATGGGCAGGTGGAATAGGGATGGTGAGGAGTCAGGGGTAGGTCCTCCAGGTTTGAGGACTGATGGATAGCAGAGGCACTGGCCAAAAAAGGAATATAGGCATAGAAGCAACTGTGTTTGGGGGTGAATGGATAAGACATAATGAGTTTATTTTTGAACATATTGGATTTGAGGTGTCTATGGAGAGATAATAATCAGATGTCTTAAGGATGTAAAGAAAGGTTTTCATTTCTTATTCTTAAAATTGATAGTATTTGGTAACTTTTTAGTTAATATCCAGTAACTTTTTGTATTTTTTCTCTTTTTTTTTTGACACGGAGTTTTGCTCTTGCTACCCAGGCTGGAGTGCAATGGTGCGATCTCGTCTCACCGCAACCTCCGACTCCTGGGTTCAGGCAATTCTCCTGCCTCAGCCTCCCGAGTAGCTGGGACTACAGGCATGCACCACCAAGCCCAGCTAATTTTTGTATTTTTAGTAGAGACGGGGTTTCACCATGTTGACCAGGGTGGTCTCGATCTCTTGACCTCGTGATCCACCCGCCTCGGACTCCCAAAGTGCTGGGATTACAGGCGTGAGCCACTGCACCGGGCCCTTATATTTTTTCAATCATATAAACATTGTAATAATTTTTTTTCTTAATCTATTTGGCCACACATAAACATAGTCCCCACTCCTTTGCACGCAAAGTTTGTGAGTTATTTTTGCATCATCGCTATTATCGGATTAGAAATATATTTTACCTTTAGATATGAATTTCTTTATTTGCATTATTGTTTGATATTTCAGAACAAAACACTTTTTATGTACACATCTCATTTTTTTCTATATAACAGTGCTACAAGTAGTTTTTATCAGATGAGGAAATTGAGGCTCAAGGATAATAGGCAAGTAGTTAGGTTTATGCAGAGAGGGGTCAAAACGTTACTAATACTTGAGAAGTTGGCCTGCAATGGGTCTGCAGAATAAGCAGAACCAGAAGTGGATGTCAGAGCTGGGATAGGAAGGAAGAAATTGAGTGGTGACATGGGACAGTCAAAAGGTCCTCCAGCAGAAGTGGCAGAATAGTGCCTGAGGCTGGGCCTCTTCCACCTGTGTGGAACAGAGTGGCACCTGGCCCATTTCAAGAACCTCTGGGCATATCACATTCAATTCCATACATTAAGAACATCTACTATGTGCTTGGCACAAGGCTAGGAACTGGAGATATAAAGAATAAGTTAGACAGTCCTTCCTTTCCAGGGGCTGGGAGTGGTAGATATATAAACAATTGACCATACACAGTTGTTGAGTTCTAAAACAGAGTAAAGACTAAGATACCTTGAGGATAGGGAAGAGGGAGTAGTTAATATTATGTAAGAGTGCAGTAAAGAGAAGATGAAGAAAAAGTTACATTTGAGCTGAATCTTGGAAAGGCTGGTGAGACATTTCCTAGGAGGAGAGGAGGACAAAGATGTTCCAGGTACGGTAAAAAACAGGGGAAAAGCATGGAAGTATACAAGCTTATGGGTGGATATAGGCTGATGTAAAACATACTGCAAGGGATAGAATAGCTCATGGAAGAAGACTCAGATAGAAAGGTGGACATTTTACTGCCAACTCAATGCAAACTATTCAAAGGCAGGTCTGGGAGGATGGGAGAGGGAAGGAAACTCACAGACCACCTCTCTATGGTATAATCAGCTTCACTGCTGACACTTGTACAGCCCTAGAGACTTTAATAATCTCTGTGTCCCAAAGATTGGACATCCGTGGGAAAGTTTGGTTTTGAATACCCTGTCTTTCTTATGCTGGAGTCTGGACAAGGTTTTGGGCAACTAGTTTTCTGCATGTGTTTACCGCGATCTTGGGGTTACTTGGATCTCCTCACTCCATGAAGTGAAGATACCTATGAAAAATTGGGCAGACATCAATGATAGACTGGACAAAGAAAATGTGGTACATATACACCATGGAATACTATGCAGCCATAAAAAACGAGTTTGTGTCCTTTGTAGGGACTTGGTTGAATCTGGAAACCATCATTCTCAGCAAACTAACACAAGAACAGAAAGCCAAACATCATATGTTCTCACTCATAGGTGGGTGTTGAACAACGAGAACATGTGGACTCAGGGAGAGGAGCATCACACACTGGGGGCAGTTGAGAGGGGTAGGGAGAGACAGTGGGGGGTGGGGAGGGAGGGGAGGGATATGCCAGATATAGTATGCACCTAAAGTAAATAAATTAATTTAAAAAATACAAAATTTTAAAAAAAAGGAAAATTGGGCAGAAATCAAGTGTCAATTATGGGAGAGAGGGCTTCATGACAAAGTCGGGGCTCATGCTCCCCTTGAGGCCTAAGTGAGGATGAGCACCTCGCAGAGAAGGTAGTCTGTGCTCAGGCACAGGTGTGGACATCAAGATACATGGGAAAATGTGGAAACATTCTTCAAATGAACAGACGGCTTGTGTCCCCAGGAGCAAGCTTACGTCAGCAAGGCTGTTTATAAAGCATTTATATCGGACATGGGAGAACTGTGCAGGCTTCTGAGCAATGGGTAGTGAAAGGGACTTTTTAGGGAGAATTATTCTGGATGAGTGGAGAGCCTGGAGTCCCTGATTAAATTTGCATTTTTAATTCCTGGATTCTTATGAAGTGGAAGGAAGCTTTCATGTAATTTTCATGACAAGCAGATTGAATGGACACCCATCAGCCTCTTACTCTTCACAACTGAGGGTTCTGGAGTTTAGGGTAAACATAGGACTGAGTAAAGGAAAAATGGCCTGAAGCCTGCATTGAGTAGCTGAAATCAGCAGGTGTTTATCATCCCTGTGCCATGCCAGTGGCTTTTTCCTCTGAGTGTTTTTTATCTGTGTTTGCTTGAACCTCAGGGGACAATCTGTTCAGTCACCATAAGGGATACCTTCAAAGAGTTTTCTTGGACAAGGTCCACTCATGTGGTCAGCCGTGATCTCATCTCCCTGCTCTGGGGGCCCTGGTTTGGGGCTTGATATCTTGAGTTTCTGCTTGAATAGGAAGCCGAAAGGCCCTGGTTTTGAATGTCTCTCATTTTGGAACACAACAGAACCACTAGTTAGCTTGTTAAATGTTTTTCCAGATTTTGTATTATTTTTAAGTAATTTAGCCCATTGCCCTGTTTATTGTCAAGAGTCGTTAAGAAAGCCAACTGCTTATAATCTTTTCACAAACATACACAAAGTGGGGGTTTGGGGAGGTGCGCTGATGGGGAGAGTAAGGCTTTTCAATTTCTGGCACAAAATTTGTAACTGTAAGGAAAGGATAGAAATACTGGTTCAGACTTTCCTAAATTGTGAACTTGATGTTTTTACCAGCGACCATGATACTCATCTCATGGAAATTTTCACACTTCTCTTTCTTAGCTGTCTCTTTGAATTTGAAACTGTCCAGAGAGGGCTCTATATCCCCCCCATTTTATTTATTCTTGAAAGTGAGGCCCCTTGTCTGACTTCTGCAACCCTTTGGAGAAGCCATGTGTCATGGTACCTTTCTCCTGCCTGGCTCAACCAGCTGTGGGTACAAATTCAAGTCCCCCAGCAACTATATTCATATCTTCCTCCAGTAGCAAAGGGATTTGTACAGATTCAGTGAGAAGAGAAGCTCCAGGGATGGGTGGGGTGCGTGAGAGGATTGGAGACAGGTCTTCCTATAGCCCTGGAGAGAGACTGTGCACGGGACTGGACCTGCTTCCAGAACCAGCCTCCTCTGCCAGAAACAACTTATTCCCTGAAGAGCCTCTGACTCATGCCTCTAATAGGACTATTATGGTTTCCTGGTGGCAAATGTGTCCTTTTGAAATGTTGGGCTTTTTAAATTTCTTTTTGAAATTTGAAGTATCAGTTGATCTATGTAGAAAAGTTCTCCTGGTCCATGCTTTCATGGTACTTTTTTGAAGCTCAATTCGCAATATCCATTTGTAGAACTAAAATTAAAAACTCCTTGCATGCAAAGAATAGTTGTCTGTCCTAGTTACTAGTGTATGTCCAGTATCTGGCATAGTGAAAGGAGGAGCATTATTGCAAAGTGATTTTTCATTGAACAAGCAAATAAGTGAGTGAGTGAATGAATGAATGGTGTGTTATTCCTATGTGATCCTACCAAGGAAGAAAGATTTTAGGAGACATTAAA